GCAATAGCAGCAGCAGCAAGAGCACGGGCTGCTGCCCCGGCTGCTGCTGCTCCGCCTCCTGCTGCTGCTGAAGCGGCGGGCAGAGGAGCGCTACCTGGGGCACGAGCCCCACGACGCGAATTCACCAGCGAAGACTTCAAACTAAAAGATGTGGAACCCAGACTAAAGAGAGCTGAGGCGGAAGCAGCCAGGCGAAAGGAAGAAGAAACAAAACGAAAAACCGAAGAAGAGGAGCACAAAAGAAAAGAAGAGGAGAAGCGCAGAGAGAGAGAGAAGGAAGAGGAACGCCAAAAGAAAGAAGAAGAACTCCGAAGAAAAGAAGAAGAGGAATCGCGCAGGCGAAACGAAGAAGAAGAAAGAAAAAGAAAACTGCAACTAGAGCAGAAACAAAGAGAAGAAGAAAACCTGCGGAAGGAGAAGGAAGAAAAAGAAAGAAGAGAAAGAGAAGCACAAAAACGCGAAGAAGAAAGACAAAGAAAGGAGGACGAAGAAAGAAGAAGGGAGCAACAAGAGAAGCAACGAAGAGAAGAGGAGGAGAGACAAAGAAAGAAGGAAGAGGAAGACGCTCGCAGACGGAAAGAAGCAGAAGAGCAAAAAAGGAAACAAGAGGAAGAAGGACGCAAGCGCAGAGAAGCAGAGAAGAAGAGAGCCGAAGAAGATGCACGCAAGCGAAGAGAAGAAGAAGACAGGAAAAAGAGAGAAGAAGAAGCACGCAAGCAAAAGGAAGCAGAAGAGAGAAAAAAGAAAGAAGAAGATAGGCAAAAGAAGAGCGAAGAAGAACGACGAAAAAAGGAGGAAGAAGAAAGTCGAAGAAAGAAGGAGGAAGAGGAAACCAAACGGAAAGAAGAAGAACAAAAAAGAAAGAAAGCAGCAGAATCTCTTACAGCTCAACTCAGACAAAAAGCATCAATGCCTGTTTCAAAAGGACCATTCTCCACAGGGAGAGAATCTCGAGAAGAACTCCTAAAGAAGGCAGAAAAGATGTTTGCAGAAGTTGATGCAGAAGCCAAACGTAAAATGTTCACAAACACACGATAAAATATCAAGGGATTTCATCACCCAGTGCCTGTGTTAA